GCACAATTGTGCTCTGGCTGAGAATCAGAACCCATTCCCTGACCCCCACTACCCCCTCCCCAGCTGCTTCCTCCTCCCCTTAGTTGGTGAGCAGAAAGCCTGGGAGGAACTGCAGTGGAGCAAGAAGAAGCAGACAGGCGCTAAGGCCGACCCAGCCCCCTGGGGCAGACCCAGCTCCTAAGACAGACCCCGCCCCTAGGGCAGACCCGGCCCCTACAACAGGGGGCTCTCAACCAGGGATCTGTGGCAAAGTCTGTTGACTGACACCTTCATTGGTCACAACTGGAGAGGGGTGGTTTCACTGCATCTGGAGGGTTGAGGCTCAGCCTCCCGCCCTGCCCAGGCCACCCTCCCTGATGTAGAATTACCAGTCCCAAAGGTCCCTGGTGTGGGGGTTGAGAAACCCTGGTTCAGACCAGAGAAGGAAGGGGATCAACTTTAGCTGCAAGGGGCCAAGGAAGGTCCACGGTTCAGGTCTCTCCCACCCACACTGCAGCCGCTGTCTGGGCTTCGTCCCTGTCACCCATGGAGACTTCATCCCTGATGACCACCCACCAACATGGATGGCCACCTCCTTGCCAGCGCTGATATGCCAGCTGCCACCAAGGCCAGCGAGGATGCTGCAGAATGAGCAGGGACCACATCGCCTGGGCAGGCCCGCGGGGGCACGGCCGGGAGGGAGTCGGCCTTGCGGAGGCTGGCCTGGAGGCAGAGGGCTGGCAGGAAGGGTTGGTACTACCTTGGGGGGGTGTGCAGACACCCTCCTGGGCACTGCAGGGAGGATCCTGTGCCGCCTGGTCCCTGCAGGGAGGACTTCTACACTGAGCCCTGGGCCCAGGACTCATCCAAGAGGTGAAGAGGGAGATGATGGAAGAGGTGGAGACCAACAGCCTTTTCCTGATGCCTGTGCAGAGGCCCTGGCCTAGCACAGAACCAAGGCCAAGAGGGAGTCTGGGAAGAGGGCAGACCCTTGATGCTGTGGCCTCCTGAAGAGACCTGTTGACCAACTAAGCAATAAATTGAGCTCTGAGCTTCCCATCAGTCAAGGGAAAAAGGGAATCAGAGGACAATACATGCCTCATCCAGTCAAATGAAAAATGCAAATTCATGTGAGGAGCCGTCTGCAGGGGCACACACCTGTCATCCCAGCAGCTTGGGAGGCTGAGGCAGGAGGATTGCGAGTTCAAAGCCAGCCTCAGCAAAAGCGAGGCGCTAAGCAACTCAGTGAGACCCTGAAAAAAATAGTAAACTCAGTGAGACCCTAAAAAAATAACAAAATACAAAATAGGGCTGGGGATGTGGCTCAGTGGTTGAGGTTCCTGAGTTCAATCCCTGGTACCCCCCCACAAAAAAATTTAAAAATGCAGAATACATAAAAGGAATCAGAAGGCTGGAGACATAGCTCAGCACAGACCCTGGGTTCAGTGGGGGTGCAGTGGCAAAGCAGAACAAGATAAAAACCTGTAACTCTTTTTCCTAACAATTTTCCCCACATTTTTGTAGTTTCCCCCCAATATCTAAGTTGGTGACATTCCGCCCACTCCTCGAACTAGGACTAAACACAGGGGTGCTCTAAACTGAGCTACATCCTTAATCCTTGATAATTTTTATCTTGAGACAGGGTCTCACTAAGTCACTGAGGCTGTTGTCTTCCTGCCTCACCTTCCCAAACTGCTGGGTGTGTTCCATCATGGCCAGCTGGTAGCAATTTTTTAAATGACTCACTTTTTAGTCTTTCCAAAGTATTCACCTTGATTTTCTTGGAAACAATAATCTCTTTTAGAGTTCATATTTCACCAGTTACATAAAAATAAGTTTAAGAACAAAAATGACTTGATGAGAGCAATTAATTGTTGAGACAAAAAGTGAGAGGTGTGGTAGAAACAGGCTCCTTGTCTTGAACATAAAGCATATTGTGGTCACCTGACAGCAAAGGAAAGGAGGTTTCAGCTTAATCAGTGAAGACAGTTATGAGATCAGTGAAGAGGCCGTTCCCTATGAAAGTACTATAAATATTAGATTATTGAGAATATAACAAACCAAAACATTTTCAGTATATCACACAATAGCATAAGATAAATACCAGTCCAAATAAGGGAAATGAAAAAAAGAAATTAAACGGTCTGCATTAAGAAATAATTTCTAATACTTCAGGACCTTGTACTTGTTCCAGTGGTGAATTCAGTCCCCAGTACCCAAAATAAGAAAGAAAAAAAAAAATTCACATGGAGAGAAAAAAAATCTTCTTGATACTGAATTATAGGAGGTGGATGCTTCCAGAAATCTTGTGGAGGTCAGGTATAAATACAATCGAGAAATTTTCAATTATTTGCATCTTAATACACTTGTTTTGCTTTTTTTTTTTTTTTTTTTTTTTAGTTTTTTGGTCCAGCTGTGTGGGGAATGCAGGGCGGGACACCGGCCAGCAGAGGGCGCGCTCGGTACGCCTCATCCATGCCCCCGGTTTCTTGCTGAGGGGAGAAGGCTCAGCCTCTCCAGCAGTTCTGCCTCCACTAAAGACAACCCTCAAATTGTTTGTCTTGCAGAAAGTGAATTCTGCATCAAGGTTTAGTTTTGTTTCCATATCTGTTTATTATAGATGTGTGTTTAAAAGGTATACTCTAGGGCTGGGGTTGTGGCTCAGTGGTAGAGCTCTTGTTTAGCATGTGTGAGGCACTAAAAATAAACAAATGAATAAAATAAAGGTCCATCAACATCTTAGAAAAAAAAAAAAAAAAGAATCTTCTAGCTAGGCGTGGAGCCACACACCTATAATCCCAGTGGCTCAGGAGGCTGAGGCAGGAGGTTTGCAAGTTCAAAGCCAGCCTCAACAACTTAGTGAGGCCCTAAGCAACTCAGTGAGACACTGTCCCAAAGTAAAAAAATAAAAAAGTGTTGGGGATGTGGGTCAGTGGGTAAGCGCCCCTGGGTTCAGTCCCTGGTCCAAAAAAAAAAAAAAAGAATCCTCTGCAGGGCTGCGGTTCCCTGCTGGACTCGGCAAGGACATGTTCCAAAATAAAGAATAAAAACGCTGGAGCCCCTGTGTGCCCCTGGTTCAGCCCTCAGGGATGAAACAAAAGAAAACACCCCTCGGGCTGGGGCTGGAGCTCAGTGGTAGGGAGCTTGCCTGGCTCCTGGGAGGCACTGGGGTCCATCCTCGCACCACATTAAAAATAAGTGGACGAATTGTGTCCATAGAAAACTAAAAATATGGGGCTGGGGATGTGGCTCAAGCGGTAGCGCGCTTGCCTGGCATGCATGCGGCCCGGGTTTGATCCTCAGCACCACATACAAACAAAGATGTTGTGTCCGCCTGAAAACTGAAAAATAAATATTAAAAAAAAAAAATCTGAAAAACATGAAAAAAAAAAAAGAAAACTAAAAATATTTAAAAGAAGAAAACAACTCTTGCCCTTTTCCCTTTTATACTAGTTTTTGTATACTTTGTTTTTAACTAGTTTATTCTACTTTACTTTTTTTTTTTACTATTTTTTTCTTTTCAGCTGTGTGTGGTGTGCAGGGCGTGACAGCTGCCAGCAGAGGGCGCCATCGCCAAGCTCCGTCCCTAACCTGGGGCCTGGTGTGTGTTGGGGGGATGGGGGGGTGGGGGGAGGCTCAGTGTCCTCAACTGCTGCAGTCTTGCTGGGCACAGAATCACGAGCCACCACACAGCTTGTAGATTCAAACAGCAACTCTTTATTCCCGAACTCACACCAGCCATCTACAATCACCATCTGGAGAAATCCATGTTCTCTGCCCAAAATCCACCCCCACTGGGCTTCTGTCTCCCAAAAAATACTGTCTGAATCCAGTGAGAACTCAAGGGGAACTCAGGCAGCAGGATATGCCCTATTCCCAGCAGGAATAATCTTAAACCTGGAACCTAAACCGGGAACACCCTAAACCCGGATCCGCCCTGTCCCTTGAGCAAGGTCACCTACATGCAATGTCACTGCAAAATGTCCTATTTCCACGAGTCCTTCCACTAAGCAACATGGGGTACACTGGCAAGGAAATTGTCATACCTACTTGGCTAATGGCTCCCAGCACTCAACGTTCCTGTAGGGACGCCTGCCAGCGCACACGGGTCACCCCTCAGAGTGAGAACCCAAGTTCAGAGCTGTTCCTGCGTATGGTCAGTATTCATGTGTGTTTCCAAGAAATCCTTTGCAGTGACCACGAGGTTGCAGGGCCTCCATCCCTAGGAAAGCCTCGGCCACCTAGCAAGGACCTGTCCCCAAACAGAAAATGTAAACAATGCCACTGAACCACCAATTTGTGTGCCCAGAGTTCATCCCTCAGAACACACCAAAAATAAGATATAACAGAACTGTCTTGCTGAAGGGAAAGCGAGGAAGGAGAGGCGGGCCAGCGAGAAATGTAGAAGGAGCCCAGGCAGAGATCATCTGTCAGAGCTGACGAATAAAGGCCATCTCTCTATAGACGGAGCGGGCAACACAGGCTTGGGGTTCAGGACATTTATGGGGCAGGATCAGGAATCAGAGCCGAGTGGTCTAATGTGGATGGTTGGGGGTTGGGCTGGTATGAGGGGTGGGAAGCCCTTGGGTGGGAAAATGAGACTTTTTCCTTAAATGACAGCCATCACTTAAGATGGCCATCCAGATGCTAAGCAAGGACTTACATTCCCCTCTTTTTTGTTTTTATTGGGCCCCTTAAGGGACAGGGACTTAGGTCAATCTTCTATAACTGCTTCCTGCTGGGAAGGGGCAGCATTTGAATAGGGGTATGGGATGTCATTGGACCGATGACAGAGGTTGAGTGGTGTTGCAGTAATTCACTTGCAGGTCAGCATGGGAAAAGAAAGAAGAAGCAGAGCAAGCAAAGCAGCAGCAGAAAAGAAGTCCTTTATTGTGTACAAGCAATCTTTTTATAGTATTGTGAACAAAGAAGGCAGCCTTCCAACATCAATGAATCAGGTCTTTCAGCTAATTAAACATAGCACACAGAAGTTTTACTTTCTAATCAGAAGTGACCCGCTTCTCATGGCTAATCTGCTCTCGGCCTGGAGCATGCCAAGCTCTGTTCTTGTTAAGAACAGATAATAAAATTTTTCTTAGCGCCCTCCTAGCCCACTTGGCAGAATATCCCATTTGCAGGCAAGTTCTCCCAAGGACAGCAGACACCTCCTTTTCAAGCATGTCCGCTGTTACCTATCTATACCTTGACAGAATATCCCGTTTGCAGGCAGACTCCATCAAGGACAGTAATAGTAACGCAGTCACATCTGATTCTCTACATCTCCCTCCTATTGTTTTTGTTAATGAGCCATTGCAGAAGTGATAAGAGAGGTTTCATGTTTCAGTTGTCTTCGCTTTTTTCAGTGTTGGAAGACTATATACAAAACAAAACACAAAACAAAAATTATTACAGTGTTACCTAAAGAAGTTGATAACAAGGTAGAGAAATGTCTTAAAGGATTTAAATTAGCAATACTTGAAGACAATTTTTGTAAAATGTCAGATCCTGTTAGTTCAGGTAATGTCTTACTAAAGGTGTCCATAATAGTTGTTTCCAAATTTATAATTTCTAAAGTTAAATTTTGATGTCCATTTAACCATCTTTTAACAGTTTCCCAGAAATCACTGGTATTATATGGCACAGGAGTCACACAAATATGAGAAGAATTCCAGTCACACTCAGAACACTTCTGGTAGCCAAGATAGTCACTTGATCGCCAAGCCAGGAAACAGTATGTTGTAAATTGATCACATCTGTAGCCAATTGAGAGTCTAAGTCCTTTTGTTGTTGCCATAATAAATGAGCATCTTGATGCCATGTTCTCACGAAATTTTCAGTTTGAATGTCTTGATGCAAAGCAACGCTAGCTATCGCAGCAGTGGCAGTTACAGAAGCAACTGCAAGGAATGAAGCTATAACTATTCCTATTAATCGTCGAGAGCGATGTAACAAAACTTGAATAGTATTGTAAAAATGAGTAACAGACAATGAATCAGACCAAGGAAGAGTCAAATTAACAGGCACCCACAATTCTGTGCGAGCTTTAACATAACTAAAGAATAATTATTAATTTCTATTAATTCCCAATTAGTTCTATTTACACATTGAGTAAGATAACAGTCTATACATGATATTGTTCCCCAAGTTTCATTCCATTCCCAGTTTCCAATCATAAGAGAATAAGGGAATTTAACACATGTAGAAGCAAAATAAGTCAGATTATTATGTAGATGTACTTCAAAAGGAGAAGAAAGGGATAAATCTAACATGAAATTTCCAGTCCATACAGTGAGTTCCCCAGATACTGCCCATAATTTTCATATATCCCCTTGAATATTAGAAAACTTTATATGTTGTAACATTGGAGGGACCAAAGCATAATGTTGCATTTTAATTGTCTCATTACCCCAAGCATTTATTGTCCCATTATGTCGATGCCATCTTATAGTACGATTTGATCAACTTTCTATAAATTTAGAATGATCAGGACTCCAATCAACTATAGTGATATTTTGATATTTGAATATTGTTTTAGGGTGATGATCATGACATTTTTCCCACTTTAAATGAGTTAAAAATGTTTCAGAATATTTATCTGAACATAAAGGAAGATGAGTTTTGACAAAACATTCTTCGGATATTAGCCATGATTGATTAACATACATATTAGAGGTATTAAATCCTCGGGAAGATATCATGACAGTAAAAACAGCAGTAGAATAACTACGATAGATAATTAACTCCCCAAGTATTATAAGAAAGAGAGTCGTTATGTGCTGTAAGAGGCAAACAGAAAGAACAGAAAGAACGAGCACCTATACACAATGGGACTCCTTTAACAGCTACAGTTATATTAGAAATATTATACAGATTTTTATGGAATGGAATATCTTCAATTCCCCCACATACAGGAGGGGGGGGGAAATTAGTATTATTAGTACACACACGAACTTTAGGTTCTCCCCAGGAAACACTGCGCACCAAAGGAGGGTTAGGAACATAGGCCCAATAAGCAAAAGAATGAGCAGAAACTAAACTTACCTGGCAATTAATAACTGCAAGCATAGCTAATAAAAGATTAACAGGATTTAAAGGCTGATTTGCCTTTTGAAGGTTTTTTTTTAGCTTCTTGAGTCAACCTTTTCATCTGTCCCCACGTTGGGGGGTCTGTTGTTCTTATTGCCATTGTAGGAGTTCTCTGCATTGCCAGCTCCTGAAGTTGTCTGATAAATGGGTTGCTCATTCTGCAATTTGATAAGTCTTGAAGGTACCTAGAAAGGTGTTTTCAGTAGAAATAAGAGGAACCCCCTTCCCATGTGGTGCAACAACCTAGAAATCCATTCTTAATTTTCATCCCTGTACCATATAGGTATTTCCAATTTTAGAAATAATGGCTGAGATTTAAATGTAGAGAAATGTTGCTGGGCTGCAGGAACCTCGGAAGCTGACCAGACATTTAAAAAATTTAAAGTTAGTAAAGTTTTATGAAGTATATTTTGAGGTGTATAAGCCATAGCCATATTCCCCCTTTTATTTTTAGTATATATTTTCTTAACGTATGATTTGTCCTTTTTATAATAGCTTGACCCTGACTATTATAAGGTATGCCAAATGTATGTGTAGTGTCATATTTTTTGTAAAAATGAATGTAATTTTTGTGAGGTATATGTAGGTGCATCGTCAGTTTTAAGTTCTTTAGGAATTCCCATGATAGCAAAACAAGATAATAAATGAGAAATGATTGCATCAGCTTTTTTTTTAAGATAAACTGTGGCCCATTGAAAATGAGTATGAGTGTCAATAGTATGATGTACATATCTTAGTTGTCCAAATGACTGAATTATAACAACATCAATTTGTTAAAGAGCAATAGGATGGAGTCCCCTTGGATTAACACCAGGAGGACAGTAAGGAATATTAAAAGGAGCACATGATGAACAGTTAGCTATAATTTTACGTGTTTGTTTTTGAGTTATTTTGTATTTTTTATAAAGTCCTTTAGTGTTTGTATGATGTAAAGCATGTTCTAGATGAGCCTTTTATAAGGGGAATAATAGTTGATCAACATTTTGATTTTTTTTTTTTAGTTAATGGTCCTGGCAGTGTAGAATGTGCTCTAATATGAGTAAAATATACTGAAATTTGGCCTATTATTTTTGTAGTTATTTTTACATGAAGTGAGATAGGACATAGAGTCTTATCTTAGGTAAGCAGGGCTCTTTATAAATTTTAAGTAAGTGTTGTAGTTTTAAAGTTTATTTTTGTTTTTAAATATTATTTTATAAATTTTATATAAATAATTGATTGTTTATTTGAGTAAAAACTAACACAATATGATAACACATCTAAAACATGAAATAAAGAAAGGCTGAAAATTTTAGATTTTTGTAGAAAAATAGAAAAATGTTTTTGTGTTTTATAATATTAACCTTTATGTAGATTAGGCTCTCATTAACTTAAAAAATACATTTAAATTGTACCTCAGTGTAAAAAATAACATAAAACTTTATATATCTTATTGATAATAGGCCCAGTTATAGAAATTAAATGATATAAATAAATCTCCAATATGTTATTTTTATAAGCCTAAAATTACCATGTAACCTTTTGGAGAACACCAGCTTGATATAATTTTTTTTTAAAGCTTCTATCTTAATGATTATGTACCTGGAAAATATGAACACATTTAATATACAAAGAAGAGTAATAGTATCATAATTACTATTGATGTTTTTATATTAATTAAGTTTAGCTCTAAAAGAAATAACATATTAGAATATTGTAAAATAATAGTTGTTGGTTAATCATAGTTGTATAATCTTTAATTTCTTCAAGATTATTTGCTTAAAAAACTTACATATATAGCCAACGTACATAGACCTTCTTTATCACTTGCTTAAACCTATATAGCCAACATACATAGACCTTCTTTATCACTTGCTTAAACCCTTTTATTTACTCACTTCCAGAAACACATTTTTTTTCTATTAAATCCATACCTAGAAACCTTCTAATTTTTTTTGTTAACCTCTTCTTTATTCACATTTTGAAACAATCCTTGTAAGTTTTTGAATTTAAGCAAATTATTCCATTTTAATAAGAGATATTTTGTTATTTGTAGTACACAATTAATCACATTTGTTTACCATATTATGAAAATATAGTGTCTAAATATTAGGGATGACAAAGCAACCATTTATTTATTTATTTATTTATTTTTATTATTTACCAACTTAAAAAATTGTTAATAATGTTATCTCATGTAATTTAAGGAGTTAAAAGCATTTAATGGTATATTTAACATTTAGCATATTTACCTTGTAAATTAATCCGATATTTTACAAAAGTACTCATAAACAAGTAATCTATGTCTAATTAATTTACTTATTTTATCAAAACATTAGACAAGTATAATGAACAGTGTTAGCTATTTTTTTGTTTTTGTTGTTGAAGAAAAGTCCTAGAACCAAAGCACATCAGTCATTAACATGTTAAAGACATCTTATTTTTTATCTGTTTACCCAATTTAAATTGAACCATTTAAATCAGTGAATTAAAAATATTTGGATCCATTTTTTTTTTAATTTTTATGAGCGCTCTTTACATATATATCAATCTTTATATCATGTACATGATATATGGACATACGCACAAACAGACATACAACATACAATACAAATGTGCATACATAACACAATAAAGGCCTTGTAGCTATTTTAGGTGAAATTTTCATTGTAATGTTTAAATATTTCACAGTTAATCAAAAATAGAACTGATCAGAAAAACATTAACTTAGGTCTGTAGGATCAAAATTATTAGCTCAAAAAATACAGAATCTAAGAAAAAGCAAGAGTCCTAGAAAAAATGACCGGCCAATAATTAGAAAGTACCATAAAATGTATTATTTATTTATTTATTTTAACAATCCCTTTTAAAATGACCTGCTTTTCCACAATTGAAACAAGTTCCTGATTTATTGGGTTTAAGGGCTCCAGCCATGGCTGCAGCAAAAACAGAAGCTTTGATGTTCAATTCCTCCCACTCCAGCACAAGCTCTCACATATTTACTCAATGAGGCGTTTTGCCCTTTTAATGGCCCCAAAATATGCTTATGTTCAGGATTTGCATTTTCAAATGCTAATGTTTCCAATAATACCTTTGTTATTTGATCTTGACTTATTGCCCTCATTACAGAAGTACACAGTCTTGCAAGAAAATCAGTGTAAGTTTCAGTAGCCCCTTGTACAGTTTTAGTAAAGGAAGGTTGTGCTTGACCAGTGGGTTTCACACATCTCCAAGCTCTTAAGAAAACCCGTTGGAACTTGTTGAAGATCTGGATCTGTATATTGAGCCTGCTCTCTAAAGGCGCGGTAATTACCCTCCTCCATTAATTTATCCTCCATAGGTCCTGGGGGATTTTGAAGGTTTTGTGGTCTAGTTATAGGAAACAAATGTGGTGGATCAACAAAACAACCAAGAGGAGCTGCAAGATCATCATTATCATGTATCATAGTAAGAGGAAATGAAAAACGTTGTTGTTCTCTACCCACATCAACTCTATACTCTGTCATTGGAAAGAGAGAAGCATTAGAAGGAGTAGTAGGTTTAAGAGAGGACCTTTGCTTTTTTAATTTCATTTTAATCCACAAAGGCCTCCATAATTTCTTTCATATTGGAGTCACTATCTGAACTTTTTGAATCTTCCTTATCACCCAGATCTGATTTAGGAGAGTCGTCTATAGTATCACAAATATCTTCCTGGGGCTCCGTTTTGTTAACCTTATTATCAGATTTTGATGTATAAACTTGTCTTTCACAAAGAGAGCCCTTTTCATTATTGCTTTCTAATAATTGTAATGCCTGAGTAATAGTGTTACACAATGTCCAAATTTTCAAATAAATAACATTTTCAGCCTGATGTTATGGAGCTCTTTCTGAACCAATTTCCATTTCCCTAAATTTAACTGGACCTTAGTTTGATACTGGAACCAGTGACAATGACATTCTATAATTTTAAATAACTCCTTGAGTCTCTTATGAGATGTTTTCACACCTATGGAATATAATAATCCTTGTAGTAACTCCATATATTGTTCCTTTAAGGACTGGGAGTTTTCCATGTTAGTTCTGAAAGTCCCCCTAAAGTCTCTTTCAACCAGGGGCAATACTGAAAAAACCGCCTCTATCTCAGAGCAAAGCCTGTCCAAGGAAGGGACATGGCCTTTGTCCTTGGAAAAACCCACAGAGCACTCCTAGGCACATTCCTACCCTGCTAAGTTGTTTATCTACAAATAACAGGAGAGATCTGCTGCGCCAGGTGTCCTTGACTCAGTCAGGCTAGGTGGGGATCCTTAGCAGCCCCCTAGCAGCCACCAATTAGCATGAGACAGGGAAATACCTGGGATGCCAGATGACCCTCCCAGTAGTTTATGGTGGTTGATAACAAGTTGGGAAACCATGTAGTTCAGCACGTACACCCCTCTTGGCTTAAACCAATCAGTTCAAATGAATACCCCTTTTGTACTGACCAATTACCCCTACCCAACTTGTTCCCGCCAGTGAATGTGCTAATCATGTTTTAGAGTTGTTATTTGATTTTCCGGCGGTGTGTGATGATTTGCTAAAAGAGGCTATGATGTATGTGAAGTCCCTGCCCTCTCCAAAGAATGTATAAAAATGCTGCAAACCCTGGGTTCGGGGCCTCTCAGTGTCACCAGTTGCTGTGTGTGTGCGCGCGGAGGACCGAGCTAGCTCACAATAAACTCCTCTTTGCTGCTTGCATCCATCTTGGGTCTCTGGTGGTCTTTGGGGGTCCCGAATTCGAGCATAACAATACCTTTTGATATTTTGTTAGTTCTGAAAGTCCCCCTAAAGTTTCTTTCAACCTGGGGTGTTAGACCACGATGCAAGAAAAGACCACAGACTCCAATTAAAATCAAATTAAAGCAAGCTTATTATTTCGACCGGCCGGGCTGTCTTGCCCATCAAAATCGTGGGAGCCAAGGACAGCGGCGAGGCTTCTTTGTGGCCCAGTTTTATAGCCCAAAAAGTTACACAAAGGGGGGTTACAGATAACAACACTCTGAGGAGCATAATACAAGTTTACATTTTTGCTGGCCCCGGCATCAGAATTTATGGAGATCTTAGAGACTCAGAGAGGGTCGTTATCCGGCCAGGGAAGGCCAGAATTTATGAGGCGTCACTAAGGTTTAGGAAAGGGTTGTTATATGGTCAGGGAAAACCTGACATGGGTGAGTTCAGGGCACGGGCAGGCATTCCAATCAGCTTTACAACATCAACTAATGGCCAGGCCATACAGACATCCTGATATTTTTACAGAAAACAGAAATGAATCCTTCATAACTTGTGACAAGCTGGCTTCTGATCTAATGAGATAACTAGGCTAGGTATATCAGGGCAATACCTTTTGATATTTGTTAGTTCTGAAAGTCCCCCTAAAGTTTCTTTCAACCCGGGGTGATACCTTTCGATATTTTGTTAATTCCGAAAGTCCCCCTTTCGTTTTCTTAACCCGGGGTGCTTACCCTTTTGGTGCTGGATCCTGCCGACTACGCCAAATGTTGCAGTAATTCACTTGCAGGTCAGCATAGGAAAAGAAAGAAGAAGCAGAGCAAGCAAAGCAGCAGCAGAAAAGAAGTCCTTTATTGTGTACAAGCAATCTTTTTATAGTATTGTGAACAAAGAAGGCAGCCTTCCAACATCAATGAATCAGGTCTTTCAGCTAATTAAACATAGCACACAGAAGTTTTACTTTCTAATCAGAAGTGACCCGCTTCTCATGGCTAATCTACTCTCAGCCTGGAGCATGCCGAGCTCTGTTCTTGTTAAGAACAGATAATAAATTTTTTCTTAGCGCCCTCCTAGCCCACTTGGCAGAATATCCCATTTGCAGGCAAGTCCTCCCAAGGACAGCAGACACCTCCTTTTCAAGCATGTCCGCTGTTACCTATCTATACCTTGACAGAATATCCCGTTTGCAGGCAGACTCCATCAAGGACAGTAATAGTAACGCAGTCACATCTGATTCTCTACAGAGTGGTGGTGGAATGCTGTCCCCAGTGCCCCAATTTTGGTGAGGGATTGGTATTCCTGTAACAAAAGCTGGTTTATAGTTTGATTAGAGACTTTTTGGATCTAGTCTTGAACCAATCTAATGAAGCAGGGGGCAAGCATTAACAGAAGGCCTGTGACAAGGAGAGGGGTCAGGGAAGGAAGTGCCCACTCCAGAAGGGGGTTACTTGGCTGCCATCCTTCAGTAGAGGAGAGCGGTTGTTTCTGATGTTCAAGGTCCTGTCGGAATTGTTTTATCTTGTCCTTTACTATTCCAGATTGATTGACATAAAAATAGCATTTCTCCTTTAGGTATAGAAAAAGTCAGCTGCTTTTGGCAGTAAAAAGATCAAGGCCCCTTCAATTATGCAGAACCACAAGTCTTGGGAAACTTTCTGTATTTTGACAGGAAAGGGAGTAAAATCACATTGTCAGGGTTATGGATACAGATAAAACGAAAGAACTGCAGATGTTTTGTCACTCATTGTCATTTTTTCTTTTCTTATAGATGAAGTTTCTACAACTGTTCTGCTATGGTTCATATAAAGCTGTGATTGTGAAAGTCTTAGTGGGGTACTTAGCCTCAAAAGATATTGAATACTTGTGTTTTTGCTTTCAGAACCCTGCCATTTCCAAGAGAACAAGTCCATCTCAGCCTGCTAAAGAAGGAGCTCTCACTGGGAGGAGGATCAAGGTGCTCCAGTTCACAGTCAGCTTACCCTCTGAAGTTTAGGAATCTTATCAACTATCAGCTAACCACATGCAGCTGAAAGACCCCCAGCTGAGCCCAGCCTAAATTGATCAGTGCAAGCATGAGTTAATGTTTTAGAAAGGCTTATAATCCAGTGATAGATAACTAAGACACCCTTTATAAACAAAATTGAGTCACATGTGGTGCAGAAGTTATCTGGAAAATAGCACAGGTGTTATAGGCATTGATTCTTCTTTTCTCCTAATTTAAAGTTAGGTCTTTTGATAGGGTATTGAATTATAAGGCAATATGTGTAGACACATATGCATATAAACAGACATCCCAGTCCTGCCATTAAGATCAAAGAAAATTGCAAAATAAAATTTCCTTTAATCTGTTTAAATGCTAGAGTCTAAACTGCTGAAAGATCTGAAGACATGGGCCCCCATCTCCTGGGACACCCATCTTCCTTTCTTTACTGTATGACATCTGAAATGGGAGAGGACGGTGCCCAGCGCCAGGTGGGAAACAGAGGTCTGCTCTGGGACACTTCCCGTTGGGAGGTCCCGGCTAGCTCCCAGGGCAGTGTCTCTGCCATTCCTTGGCACCGAGGAAAAAATATTGGCAAGGGAGTGTATTTCGTCACCTCTGGCACACAAAGGAGGCGTCCGGGAACTTCACCTCCCCGGGGTCGCGGGAGGCGCTGCCCCCAGCCGAGGCGGTGCCTGCCATCGAGGATGCTCTTCCACACCCGCCAACCTCATCGGGAATTTCATGCTGTCCACATAACGACGACGCCCTGAAGAGGACGTCCTGTTAAAGTGGCCTTGGCCTGTTATTTTTAATTTTTTTCATGTAATAGAAAACCTAGAATCACGCGTGTGCCCACATTTTATTTGTGCGGGTAATCGCTGCTTTAGGGGTTTGCTTCCCAGTTCAAGGTTCACGCTGCCTCCTCCCAAGACCAGAGAGCAGAAAAGTCACATAAAAATGCAAAGTGATTGTCGTTACATGATTTCCATCCCTGGATAATATACATGCACTTATTCCATGAATTATGCGACTATATACGTCATAAAATACGAGTCTTCCCGGCTTGGAGCCCCCTGCTGCAGAGAGCCCCCTGCTGCAGGGAGGCCCTGCCTTGGAAAGGCTGTCGCCGAGCCTTTGTTCCATTCCCAGCAACTCAGAACAGCGCCGTGCACGGCGGGCCTGTGAGTCCAGGAGCCGCGCCATTAGTGAGCGCTTGTCTTGGAGTGAGGAAAGGAAAGGCGTGGGCGGCGGCCCACGGTTAGGCACACCGGCGTCCGACCCCAGCTCTGCCCTGACAGCGCGGGCGCGCGGAGCCGGAAAGCCAGGCCGCCTTCCGCCCGGTCTTTCCGGGGTTGGACGCCCGCGCTGTCACTCAGCCCCCAGGCTCCCTAGGCTCCGGGTCGGGGGCGGGGGTCGGATGCGCTGTCCAATCAGAGACGAGCGGGCGAGACCTGCCCAATCCGGAGCCCGCCCCGTGCGGAGAGGGCGGGCCTCGTCTCTGGGGCGCCTTTGTCTCGGGACCCCGCCATTCCTCGGATGCGAGGCCGGGCTGCCATCAGTCCTCTGGAGGCCCGAGTTCCTCTGCTGCCAGGCGCCGGAGCTCCGCGGGGGAAGGCCGGGCACCCTACGGCCGGGAAATGGTGTGTACGAGGGGCGTCCGTGGACAGCGCGGCGGTTCGCCTGGGCGGGCGGCAGTGGGCGCTGGAAATGGCCGAGCGGACCCCGCTGTCTCTCCGGCCTCCGCCCGCGCGCGGCTGGGCCCTTGGGCCGGCCCGCTAGGGAGGGTCGGCAGCGGCGTCCCCGGAACCCACAGCCGGAACCCTGTGCGGAGGCTCAGCCTCCGCTCACACCGCGAGGCGGCTGCGGGTGGGGACCGCGGCCTCCCCGCGAGGGCCGCTGGCCGCGGTGTTTCCGTGCGAGATTGAACCCAGGGCGCGGTGCCACCGAGCCACGTCCTTTTTACGTTTTATTCAGAGACTGGGTCTTGCTAAATTTCTTAGGGGGCCTCGCTCAGTTGCTGAGATGGCCTTCAACTCGCGGTCCTCCTGCCCCAGCCTCCCGAGCCGCTGGGTTTATGGGCGTGCACCACAGCGCATGGCCTATTTTTAATTTTTTGAAGTACGTTCATACGGTTTCCAAAAACAGCTGTACTAACTTTATGTTCTCACTAGCGGTTGTATAAGGGTTTCCTTTTATCTATGTTTGTATACGCTGGTGTGCTTGTTATCTTTCAAAAATTTTTTTTTTTTTTTTTTTTTTTTACTAGCCATTCTAGCATCTGTACTCAGGCTGCGGGAGGTCTGCTATCTGACTTGTGCATTGAGTTCCTGAAACAAGTTTGTTAAAATGAGAGCTGTCAGGAAGCCACTGAAAGAGCAATTTAGAGGGATCTATGATTTCTAAACACCTTTTCTGCGTCACTGCTGGGGATGGTAGCTCATGGAAGCTCTTGCAAAACAATAAATCCATGTTTCCAATCTAGAGATTTGGACGTGCTCTCAGCTGCTTTGGTTGGAGGTTGGAGGTTTGGGAGGTAAATGCTGAACTCTCATGCTGTCAGTGGTTTACGCTGTTTTTTCCTATTAAATCTCTGAAGCAAGATAGAAATTCAACTGTCGCCACAGCATTTGGCAGAACTTGCTGATAGGTAACAAGGTTAAGCTTATGCGGTTGGGTTTGAAGGCTTCTGCCCTGAACCCAGGTGATGAACCCCTGGAAGTGCTTGCATGACCATAGAAAATCACCACTTTTTGATACTTAAGCAGATACTTGTTCTCCCAGCCCTATAAATTAAAATGCAAACCACAGGAAACTTGAGTTAGGGTATGTATGGTCCTAGGCTCCCATTCTGTACCAATGATATGGGACTTTTGCAGTGTAGGACCATGGCCAGTGTACCCCAGATTTTCCTACTCATTTGAAAGTATATATTTTCTCAGTTGTTCAATGGATCTAAGTCTTTAAACTCATTTGTGACTGTCTTAAAGGGACCTAAAACATGAGCATCTATTCAGTGTAGCCATAGATGGAGGGAAAATCAGGTGTCTCATATTCTGTTTCCAAAATAATCCCCATTAGAAAAAAGCCTTTTATGCCGATTGTGGGCTCTGGAGGATGAGAGTTCAAAGTCAGCCTCAGCAAAAGTGAGGTGCTAAGCAACTCAATGAGACCCTGTCTCTAAATAAAATACAAAATAGGGCTGGGGATGTGGTTCAGTGGCCAAGTGCTCCTGAGTTCAATCCTTGCTACCAAAAAAAAAGCCTAGGACCTTTCAATTCTGCACATACACAGTGAACTGTTTGCCTGGCTCAACCTACTTGTACATTTGGTAATTTCATCCATTTACATCTAATGTCGTTCTTCATATAGTTGGACCTAACAATACAAAAATGTTTGTGTATATGTGGATTTAATTATGGATTTTATTTGTATTATGGTTCCTTGGTCTTTATTATTGCAATATTATGGTTTTATATTATACATTAGTGCCTATAATTTATACATTAGTGCCTATAATTTACACATTATTTATATAATTAATGTATATAGTGTATATAATTTAGGTACTGAAAACTACTTCATTTGCTGTTATAAATCAGTATGCTTTACCACCAGGAGAATTTTAGAAAAACCCTGCTTTAAACCCTTTTTCATTAAAAGATAAGCATGTTGAAATTTATTTTTAAAAATTTTTTTTAGTTGTAGATGGACACAATGCCTTTATCTGTATATTTTTATGTGGTGCTGAGCATCAAACCCAGTGCCTCACGCGTGCTAAGCAAATGCTCTACCACTGAGCTACAACCCCAGCCCAGCATATTAAAATTTTTTATACTATAGATTAATTTGGGGATAATTATTTTTTTAGTGATGAGTTTTATCTACACATGGTGTATATAATTTAGTCTTTCAAGTACTCCCAGAAATTTTTATTTTCTGATGAGTATTCTACATATTTCCTTTTAAAAGATGTATGTATGTGAGGTCTCACATGAACGTGGCATCTATATAATACTTAGTGGTATTTTGTATATTTGTTGAACTGGACCATTTTCCCCACACTGTATTATTTACCTCTTCTTACGTGTGCGTCCTCTTTCCCCACCCTGGATTTCAGGTGTTGGGATCTGTAATGCTGTATCCATACACATCATCATGGTTCACTTTGCAGTCATTCCTGCAAGTCTGCTACTGAGGGGAGCTTCATGTATCTTCATTCCACTCTGCTGTAGTTCATGAGAATTTATTTGTTCCAAATCTTCATCAACAGTGATTAATTTTATCTAATTTTATTTTTATATCTTTAATGTCTAAAGATGTTGAGCTTTTTATGAATATTGAACACAGATATTTCATATAAAGTGGCTATGCAGTCTCTTGCCTGCCTTGGTTTGGGGTCTTTATCTTTTCCTTTCTTATTAAAAGTTTAGTTATATGTGAAGTAATTAATTTCTCCTGCTGTCATTTCCTTTGTACCATTTAATGGTATCATTTGTTGACGGAAATTTTATTGTACAATTTAATTATCATTTGATGATGGAAATTTTATTTTAATGTTATCCAATTTGTACATTTTTTAACATGTCTTTTTGTGTAACTTTGAAAACAATTAAATTTTTGTATGGTTCTTGGGATTGAAGCCAAGAACGTACTTCCGCTAAGCTACATCCCCAGCAAATTGAGACAGGACCTTACTAATTTGCCCAGGATGCCCTTGCGATTGCAGTCCTCCTGTCTTGGCCTCACAAGTACTTGGAATTGCAGGCATATACCACCTCATCTGCCCTATAGCTCTCTTTTTTTATTAAAACAAGACAAAAACTGTTAATGTTTTATATTTTGCTTGTGTTCCCACAAAAGACAATTTAAAGTCGGACACCAAAAGTCAGACTAGAGCACTTTAGTATAAGTGTGAGGTGAAAGTAAGTAAAAGCAGAGTGAGGCCCAGGCAGAGAGCACTGCTGAGAGCCAGGACAGTCCTCCTTCATGTCCAGGGCCCAGGTTTTGACCCTAATTGGTCCTCTTCAGAACTGCCATGGTGGCAGTCCTGTTCAGGGCATTTTATCTACAAATCATCCTCCGTTGGTTTTTGGGCCAGGCTAGTCAGAATTTACCTTAGTGCATGTTACTAATGAAACCTGCCTCCCTTCCAAGACTGTGGAGGCATCTGTGGCCATGACTCCTGGCTTGGCCCTGGCCTAGGTGGACCCTGTCAAGAGTTGTTAATCCTTCTTTTTGATGGATTTCCCCAACCAGCTCCCTAATTAGCTTCTTTTATCTCTGCTTGCTACTCTCAGGTCTGTGTGCCAGGGGTTTTTGTTTTTGTTTTTTTTTAAGCAGCTTATCTGTTATTTACTCATCCAGGGCAGCAGTAACAAAGAACAGTTTAAAAGTAATTTAAAGTAAACCGGTGACCTTACTATGGTTCCACTGCATATACTGACTGCTTCCTGTTAGCGATAACTACTACTTTTTTTTTTTAACTAGTACTCTTGGAGTGTTCTTTAAAACAAGAAAACAGAAGTGTGACAACTTATTATGTAAATTGTACCAAAAGGGAAGTTAAAGGGGGCAACTGTGGGCTGGTCCCACCCTGGCCCACGGCTATCTAAGGGAGGGGTCTGAGATCTGGGGATCAGGCAGGAAAGGGATGGGCTAGGGTATGAGGTGGAGGTGCAGAGTACAGGCAGGAGGGGCTACTCAAGAAGAAAGTCCTGTGGTCTAGGTGGGGTCAGGAGGATGAGCCCAGGAGGGGAGGAGAGGTGGGGCCAGCTGGGCACTGGGATGGCAGGTTTGAGGGTCACAGTGGCAGATGAGGGTGGGGACAGTGTCCAGGGAGGCCGAGTGAGGCTGGGGAGAAGGAGAAAGTGGCACTGTGGAGCCAGAGGAGAGAGCCAGGAGAGGTTCCCACCCTCAGGTGTCCCCACCCCCAGTCCCTGGGGCCTTCTGCCCCCAGCCCTTCGCCTGGGGCTCACTCTGCCACCCCATTTCCTGTCTTCTGCAGGGACCCCCTCGTCCCCCTCTGGAGCAGCTCTCTTAGCACAGCCCTCGTCACCCTGATCTTCCTCCCCCACTGTGTCCCCTACTCCTGTTCCCACTCACCCTGGGGGATGTCCCCCTGCTCCTCACTCTGTCTTCCTCCAATGCGTCCTCCTCTTGCCACCTTGCGCCTTCCCTACCTAGGCCTCTCCAGGTTCTGCATCCAGCCCACCAGTGGCTCCACACTCTTCTCTAATGCCCCGCATGTCCAGCTGGCCAGGGGCCAGGTCCTGGAGCCTAGGCAGGGTGGAGGCAGCCCACCTGAAGTGACAAAGGCAACGGGGACACTGGCCTTTAGAGCTTTCTCCTGGAATCCTTTGTGCTGCTCTGTTCTGCCTGGGAGTGGAGTTGGTGGTGCCCAGGGTGTGCCTGGGTAGGTGGCACCAGGCCCTCTTCCCAGGAGCTCCACCACTGGGCGTCCATAGCAGTGTCTGGCAGGGCCACTGCATCACTCCTTTTCAGTTGTTCATCTGTTAATTGATGGTTTGTTTTGGCCTTTGTCATCCTTGTTACCTCTGGTGAGTGCAGTGGTCCTGCATCTTGAATGCCCACTTCTCTCAGCCATGTTGACTTCTGTTTAGTTGTCTTTTGAGCATTCTCT